AATCGGGATCTCATTTCTTGCTAGGCTTGCTTCAAAAATCTATATCAATGCTATGGCGACAGTTGCTGATCACGATGCCGAGTGTCGGTCACATGCACTCACGTGTGATTGGCCGTCGCTTGTTCTATTTACATCTGACCTCGCCTGCACCCTACGATCACCCACGCAGAGTGGAGAGTCGTGCCGACCGGCGAAGCGGTGCAGAGATGGACGGGTCTCGCGGTAGGTGGGCCCCTGCTAGTCTGGCCGAGGGACCACCAGTGGGAGACGAGTCACTTGCTGTGAGGACGGAATGTGTCTCAGCATCCGACGACGGGATCCGTAAAGGGCGAATCAAGGCATCTAGGGCTCCTTCGTTTCGACTGTAATCATCAGTATCCTGGTCGCAGAAAAAAGGTCATCCACACTTACCACACACAGCATGACGTGCCAAACCCTGTATCTCGCTTTTCCAACCATTCTTCCGCGCACGACAGATGACAGAGCGATGTGCACTGACCGCAGCGCAAGATCACATGCTCGTTCGCATGGTCTTCATCGTCGGCCAGGCAAAACACACAGTGGATGCTGTCGACCTCTTCACTCGGGGTGAGACTCTGGAGCGTCAATTCTTGGAAACCAGCCCAGATATTAGCGACCGACGCCAGAATAGCCGGTTGGGCCGGCGAAACGCGCCATGGAACACTGTTCGTCCGCAGCATTGCCGAAGTCACAAATGGATTGAATGGCTGCACTGGCTCGGGGTTTGTTGACAGGCGCACCGGCGGGTCTTGTCTGGGCCCGCGAGGTGACGGGTCAGTGTTGTCTGATACAGGGCGGCGCCTGGAGGCTGACGATGTCTGACGCTGGGCCGGCTGTTCCGTGACTGATGGAGAAGCCATTCTGGAGCCATGTGGTACTCGCGCCTGGTTGCGGACGGCGGCTTCATACCACTGCTGGCCAATTTGATCGGCCTGCCGTTGCCGGTGCCATCTTGCGCAGAGGAAGTCTCTGGCCACATCACAGAGCTTCGACTGCAACGTTGACAAGTCAAACGGCTCTCTAGCGAGAGTGGTCAACTTTTGATGGCCGGTCTTGTTGTCTTCAACTTTGATCGAGTTCTTGCATGGCTCGCCTTTTTTCGTCATGCCGCAACAGGAGCCAGGACCGCCATTGGGGCTGACCTCTATCTCACAAACAAGAAACGGATTCCAAGGCAGCATGGTAGTTATTTAGGTTGTCGTCAAAGGCAGAAAATGCTTCGGATTGTGGTGGTGTTGGGCAATCACTGCGGCGTTCCCTCGCCAGCTTTATATGCCATCGCCTGGGCTCCTTACCTACATGGCTGCGTGGCTGGCATGGAGCACTTCCTTGAAACAGTCGGTACGTCGAAGAATGCATTCACACGCAGTATGCGCCGTATACTACCGATCAGTGGCCTGCGAGAAGGGATATCATTCCAGATCACTGCTGCAATCAGCTGC